TATCCTAGGTCTATAAAGCTGATATCCCAACCCATCCAAACACCGTCATTACAACCTATGCCGATGTCACATGTGTCCTATCAGTTCATAACGACCCAACAATTGCATCTCAAATCCTTCAATCCCACATCACTAACCTTGAGGAATATTGTCAAAACTGGAGAATTAAAATAAATAATACCCCACTTATCCCTGTTGAACAAATCCGATACCTAGGACTCCACCTGGACAAAGGTCTAACTTGGAATTACTAGACTGTAAAGACAAGAAACCGTTGGACGTTTCCGACTACTTCAGTATTTACTAGACAAACGCTCTAACATTTCAATTAATTACAAAAGACTCATATACATGACCACAATAAGACCTATTTGGGCTTACGGAGTCTAACTTTGGGGCTCCATTAAACCATCGAATTCCTCTCTTATCCAATCTTTACAATCCAAAACCCTTCGTAAAATCATTAATGCTCCTTACTTTGTAACAAATAAAATAATCCATAATGTCCTAAGTGTTCCATATGTTTCCGATTTGGCCCAATCCAGATACCTATCCTTCCATAATAAACTTTAGAACTATCCCAATCCTCTCGTTTCTAACCTTGCTTCCTCCTCGATCCCTTATAACCCTCTCAGGCGTCTAAAATGAAGGTGGCCTAGTGATCTCCTAATTTAGAAACTTCATTAGAGTGCTACCAATGGGTAGATTCTCTACAAGCCTTTTCATGTCATATATTTATCTGTATCGCGTTTGCTCCGGGGACGGTCATCGTCTCGAACCCTCCGATTTGAGTCGTGTTCCTCATCGACTGCGGAGGTGCAGGCATCCTCCTGTACATCGGCAGTCTATGTAAAGCCGTAGCAACCGTAAGATTGCGGAGCCTGAGACCAATCGTGCTCTGATGTCAGAGAAGCAGTGCTTCTGGATCAAATTGGTACTACGGGCCGTCGCCGGAGCCCTGGCGGCGCTTTGGGTGGACGGCGAGAGTGCTTGCTTGCACTGTTCGGCCTTGGCGGTCGTAGTGGTCGTTGCGTTTACGACTACTCGCTGCACGACACCAGTGTTCAGCTAGTCTTGACGTAGTTCAGGCTAGTGATCTGGTATAGTGTGCAGACGAGTGGACGGAAGTTATGGTAGTAGAGTGCTGCCGGGCACCGGCTGTGTGCCCGCATACTCTTGGTCTTACCGAGGCTTAAAGAGGTTTTTAGGGGTTAGGTTGGAGGCTGGTTAAGGCTACGGCTAGGAACGCATCCGACCGATGATCCTCGGCACATAGAGTAGGCGGATACACGTTGTATCACATTTGCAGAATGTATATTAAATGTACAGTTGTAAATTTCATAAATAAAAAAATACCTTTAAAATACACGATTATAAAAATAACAAAAAATATTTTTGTGTACTGTGAATAACAAAAATGTACTTTGTAAGTTTTTCTAAAATCTAATTTCTCTTTCCTTGTAAATTTTTTTTTTAGCATGGACATTTTAAGATAATTCACTTGGATCCATGTTGGAATGGAATGCTGCTCACTGCCATAAAGTATCATTGTTCATTATATAGTGCTAAAGAGGATCTTTTCATTTTCATTCATGATGGAGAGGTTCTAGAACCAAATTTTTATTTATTTATTTTATTGATTCATACGATTACGTTTAGAACGCTGAATATAAATGTTAAATCAGTTTTTTTTTTTAAACCACTCGGTTATCTATCAAAATTTTTCCTGCCATCCAGTTAGTTCCAGGAAAATTCTGTAATAGAAATATTGCTTTTCCAAGAACTGAATAACAGAGTTGAAGTTAATTTTAGTTCTGCTTTTTAGACATTTCTATACCAAATGAAAAATCCACGGGGTCCTCGCTTGAAATTTATATTTAGAAGTGACTTTTTATAACTTAAATGGAATAAGTATGTTTTTTTAGATGGTTTTCTTTAGTTTGCTACTTACCACGAAAATATACGTTAAAGGAAAAGAGAAACACTGTTACTGACTTTGTAGTGAGAGCTTATCATATTGGATGTTTTGGTATTGAATTTGGCGATCAGAATAAGGAAACCAAATCGTTCTATGAAAGGAATTAGAAAAAAAACTGATTCGATAAAATCCCTAAACATCCACTTCGATGATTCCAACTATCACCGCTTTGTGTGGATTAATTCTTCCGTCTCATCAAATTTTTTGTTAATTAATGAATCTTGTCCAAAGACGGACAAGATTCATATCGCTAATTGTGTTCAGCATAGCGCTGCAGCAGGAGATAGGAACAACATTAAACAAAAATCGAGAGGTCCACGTCGGAATAAATCTTAAATTAATGAATGCGACTGTCATGGAATTTGTCAATTATTCAACAACAATTATGTCATAAAAAAGGTTATGAAACATGTAAAATTTATTGACCTCACCATAGACCTTAGACGATACCTCTGAATTATTGTGTTTCAGGTTGAATAACAAAGTATTTACAGGAACATAGAACTGGAATCATCATTTTACCGTTCAGGTAAAATGATCTTCAACATAAAAAGCAGTAATAAAAATTCCGTGTTTAGTTCTTTAGTGGATTCAAATAAAAATAATTCAACATATATCATATCTGTCAATTCAGTATTTCTGGGCTATAACTAATGGAATATTTAAAATATTAAGGAAGTAAATCAAGAACAGGAAGAAGTGCTACTTGGTACTATTTTTTTTCATCATGCCTAAAATGTCAATTTTTCTTAATAGTTACAGCACATCTGCGTTTTGTCAAGCTCATGACAGGTGTGGATGGAAATATGAAGAAAAAATAATTGACGACATTAAATTCTGGGTAAATGTGTTCCAAATACTTTTCCATCAAAATCACTAGTGGCCTATAGATATATTTTTTATAATATATATTGTGATATGTTTTTTTTTCTGGTTACAACTTTTAACTAATTGTAAATCATTTGCATAAATATTTGTTTTGTTTTTTCAGAAACGGTGTTAGTAAATATTCTGAATTATAATTTACTACATAGAATACCTGACTACCACCTATTGAACATTTCCGTGCAATTATCAATTTCATAACAGTTAGAATCATGTATAAGAAATAAGTCAGTAGATCAATCAATTATCTCAATCAAGGGAATTGATTGAAGTTGCAAATTATTGATGTAGTGCCATTGGCACTGCTAAAGTTTGTTAATTTCATAAGTTGCATAACCACAGTTCGAAGTTAAGCTAATACAGCTTCATAATTAGCTTTGCAAGGAACGGGATGTTAATTGAAGTAACTAAATCTTGTAAGTAAATGAATTACCGTCACTTTATACTATATCAAATTCAAATATGTTTTATCCTTTGTTGTTTGTTTTTGTCATACCTTTTATAATTTTTAAGATTTATGTATCAAATCAACTGTGAAATGTTCAGTATTTTCTTATGGAGCGTCAGTAACGCTGTCTTAACAGGATTGATTCTTTGAATTCATGGGTGTAAATTATGCTGGCTATGCTCATATTATTTGACTATTAAGTATTTGTGGATCGAGAAATTCGGGTTAAATAAATATCAACTGTTTAAAGAAAAAATGGTCTCAAATATAACTATAGATATCCTAGACAACAAAAAAGAACCTCGTTTCGTTTCACCAATCATTTATAGGTTAAATATTCAGTAATTCATTCAAAACTCTGAAGGCATATATGAGCCTTTTGGCTGACAGAATGACTAACTTCAATTTCAACATTCTTTATTATTAATTAGAGTGATGTTTCTAGTGGCAAAATGTGTACCTTCTATATTTTCACAATAATCACCTATTCTGTAATCAACTTATTGTCTTTATATATATATATATATATATATATATATATATATATATATATATATATATATATAATTTTTCTGATTAGAAATATCATAAAAATGATATTACTCAAAAATGTTGAAATTGGAGTTAGTCATTCTGTCAACTGAAAGGCTTAGAAACTGAAGCAGTGAGGGTAGTTTATAACAGCAGAAGGAATAAGTAAATTTTTATTGTCTACCGTCGATATAATAAATAGAATTTTTGTAATTTTAATGGCCTTAATGATTTGTTATCTGTAAGTTTTAAGCTTTAGCATCGATTAAAATGCACTTAATTTTTTTATAATATCTTAACATTGCTAGAAAATAATTTCTATTCAAAGTAGAGAGGTGAGTGGAAGTTGTGTGTGGCGCGGTACCAGATGTTTTTAAAATTTGGATAACGTGTTTTCAAAACGGTACTGCGTTAAGAATGTTACATCACAAAGAAAAGGCTGTATGGAGTAAAAATATTCTTAGTTATAATCTTGCAGATTGGAACACCACTAAGATAGTTATAAATTTTTAAAATCGAAAAATGAAATCTATAATAATTTAACCTAACGCGTAAATTGATTGCAACGAATGAATTCTTGACTGCTTTTAAGTATTTCTTTTCTTGCTTTGTCTAAATCTGTTTAAACAAAAATATTGTCATTTTTTTATAAGGTTTTGAGTGAGGTACCCCCCCTGGTTAAGTCACTTTCAGGATCAAATTTGAGTCATTCAGTAGAAGATAATTAATTTATTTTATTATATCATTCGTGGATTAACTATGGATCAAAATATTATACTGAGGTAAATTCATAAATTAAGTGCCTTTGTATCAGAGACTTCTACAGATTAAAGGAAAAACTCGATGGTTGAGTGTGAAAGCTGACCACATCACTGCCCAATGGTAGCTATCCGTTACGTAACATTATCCAATCCTGAACACAGGTCATTCATGGATTAAAGTTGGATAGATTCATTTAAATCTTTAATGCTGCGAATGAAGTTTTATTCATTTCATAATTGTTGTTTAATACTCATTTGTGTGTATATTACTTTGTTGTATTTTGTTATTCCTCCTCCCTATATAATTAATTTCGTTTCAGTGAGGAAATTGATTTAAAACCGAAAATTGTTTGTTATTCATTTTGGAGTGCTTCCAGGGAGTAATTAAAAAATATATCCATAAATATTATTAAAATATATTTTGCTTAATGAATATACATATCACTTAACTCGATATGTTTTAAGCTTATTTCAACAACTTAAATATAATATCAAACGTAATGGTATCAAAGCTCTCATATACAAAAAAGTTACAAAAAAAAATATAATAATGAACAAAAACATAAAAATATCAATTACATATTAAATTGATAAATCTAAAAATGATCTCATTTACAAATGCTGAAAACATACTTTTTATCCTTTATAAAATACTAAAAACAATAAATTATCATTAAAATGATTCTTATAATAACTTTAACATCAAAGTTTGATTTAGTAATTGCTTAACGAATATTCCTTAGAGCTTCATTCCATAAATTTAATTAAATTATTTACACATAAACATTTACAAATGTATTAATTGGTATAATAATTATTAAATATATAAATAAAGCTATTATATAAACATGATTATTAAAAACTAAATCACAGACACATCTATAGAATCCTATTAGTAAAAGAATACATTTTCCTTTTCTCTTCTCTATCTTTATTCATCGAAACTCGTCTGTAAAAAAATAATAATAATAATTAGCAATCTTAAATCAATAACTATATATACCTACTATAAATAATTATTACTTTTAATTTACTTTAGAAACTCAAACATTTCAACTTATAACTAATATTATAATACCTATCAATTATTTATCAAAGATTTGAACTAACATATTTCTTGAGTGTTTAAATAACTTTAATTTCTCTTTGTATTAAACTTTGATTTGTTAAATGTATCGAAAAAAGTCACAGGATATATATTTAATACCAATTTAATGATAAGTTTTTTTTCTGTAAAAAGGTTTATTTTTTTTTTAAGTTATCAATAATCCCTCGACTACTCATTCATTTTATGTATTATAAAATATAATGGTTTTGTCTTTAATTTTCACATATTGCTTTAAATATATATATATATTTAATATATATATATATAATATATAATATATATATATATATAATTATATATATATATATATATATATATATATATATATATATATATATATATATATATATATAAATGTGATAATCAATAGTAAAAATAGTCATAAAGTTTTCAAAATGATTGAAGTAGATAAAGGGTAAATAAAAACAAAGATAAAAAAGCTAAGTGCGCTTTAGTAAAAATTCACGAGTTTACCTATATCATTATAAACAATTGTTTCCTATAAACATAATTAAAAATCAAAGTGAAATAGATAAACTTAAACTGACTGGCTCATCTCACACACTGTTTTAGTCGTGTTTACTGTTGCCTATAAGTGGGGATAGACGAGATTAGTTTAATACTAGTGTCATTAATAATTATCAACTCATCTAGGAGAAAATTGAACCGCAGTAATCTGCAGAGGCACTAGCATCCGCTCCCATCAGTTTAATCATCTTACCGTTAAATTTCATATTTTTTAATGCGAGAAAGGAAGGACATATAATACTTTTTGAATGAATTATTAAATATATGATCTTATGAGTTTATATATATATATATATATATATATATATATATATATATATATATATATATATATATATATATATATATAAACCATATAGGTGATTTTTTTTTTTTTTTTTTTTTTTTGACCCTTACGTTAATAAACATAATTAAATATTTTTTATCTATTAATTAAATAAAAAAAGTCTTTTCAAAACATTTTCTCGCGATAAAAATAATATTTTATATAATATATAGTATTTTAAATAATATATCATGGAATATAGGACGTTAACGATAAATTATTAAATAAAAAAAATTGTTATAAAATATTATTTATAACTTGGTATATTTTCATTATTCCGAAGGTGATGTTTTCGGAGTAGAACCAGAAAGGATAAAACTAGAGACGATATGAGGGTGGTGTGGGATTTGTCGACCGTAATCTCGGAAGACACTTTTTGAAGTATTCAAAGAGATCGTGTTCAGGTACTCTCAGCTAAATGAGTTTTATCAATTTCATATCTTGATAAATTTGAAGACTTTTTTTAAATTTGTAATAACCTCTGAGAAATAAAAATATGATGTAATGAACGAACATTTATTTTCTTTAACTATATAAGTATATTTGATTAAGCCAAAGAGAAATATTATCTAATTTAATATATCATGTTGTTTTTGTTTAGCTCTTTGTAACATCAAATATAATAAATTGATTCATTTATAAGAAATAACTAATAAAGCAGAATGACAGAATAACAAATAGAAATGTGATAACAAGAAAACATGAAATAATAGTAACAATAAAATGATTTGAATTGTAATAATAGTGTTCATGGTGTAACTACTTAATTATCAAACAGATATATCATAACATAAACACATCATATATAATTGCGGTATTTAACTAACTGTAAGTTTCAGATCGTTTCCCGGAACTAATTCCGTTATTAGATTGGTTCAATGGATTGAATAGAACGGAATGAGACCGTAGGTTTTTTTTTTTTCTGAAGGAATATAATCTGAGATGGGAACGTAAACGGTTTTAGATTTCATTCCATTCAGTTTAAGTTTCAGTCTGAGATTTCATTTTAGAGTCAGTCCGCTCTAATTGTGATACTTTTCATGATGATCTATAGAAGGTTTCGTGGAATATTACTTTTAATTCAAATTTATAGTTTTGAATTAATAAAATTGTATTTTCATGCAATTGGTAAATTAAGATAAAGAAATTATTCTTCTATAATTTTTTTTTATTTTATAACTGTGGTCAATGGTATATTAATTACACAGTTGTATAAAATTTAGAAAACCAAAAATGAATTTTATTTCACAGAATATTTTTTTTAGAATAAGAAAATAAAATTCAATTCAAAGTTGGAATTTCATTTTAGATAAAAAAGAATATTTTGTATTATAAATGTTTGGACTCAATCTTTTCTCCTAAGAAAAGATCCACCATCTTACGGTTTATGATTTATATCAATTTTCTGATTGGTTGCTACTTTATTTTAAAAATAAATAACTTTTTTTATTTATTTACACGGAATTATATTTTGAAAAATTAAGAAACATAAATACAAATTAATACAATTCAGTTAGTGCTGTAAGAATTATTTAACTAGGTGAGTTGGAATTTATTTAAGATAAAAGAGGATAGTTTTTATAAGAAATGTTTGGACTCAACCTTTTATTCTAAGAAAAGCTGCAACATTTTACGTTCTATAATACTTATTAATTTTCTGCTTTATTGATACTTGATGTAATTAATCAATAAATATTTTTACCGTAATCGGTTGCTGCGTAGTATGAGAATAGATAAATGTTGTTCAGATGGAAAGATTTGCTCGTAATTGTTCATTTACCTATAATATCTTATTATAAATAGAATTACATGGGTTAGGATTTTCGGTTTGTGGCTGTTTGACGCAAGAATTCGGGCGGTGTGCATATTTATTTTTATTAATTACGATATTTGATAATAAATTTCAATTTCATGTTTTTAATACAATTAACAAAAATATGAACAAGAAGTCCTATTCTGACGAACGTCTTGTTCATATGAACTTTTTTACTCTACATACGTCTTTTTTATAAAAACAATGTTCACCGGTATTTTTAACACTATTTCCATGACATTGTACCAAGTACAATCTATCGCAATGTGAGAAAATACCCTTAGAACTTAATAAATTATTTATAAATTACTACTCGAATCATAATAATACAATTATTAGTATAATTGAAGAGCTCGTAACTTACCCATTGCATATGAGACTTCTCCTCTATGGGAGTGGTGAGGTCGATGAGGACGGGTACCGGTGCGATGAGCTGCTGGAGAATGCTAGGTGGTGGCCTCTTTTCATCTGAATCTGAACCCTTCCCGCATCCTGTGAAAGACATATTACATTAGATATCCAATTTGTACTTTTATAAATATTTATTGCTATAATCGTAATTAACATCATCATAAACATACAGACTAGGATCTACCGACGATTTTATTTAAGGGAAAGACTTATAGGTAGTAACCATTTCAAATTTTAACTCTAGTATGAATCCACAACTTCGGTCAGACGGTTAAAAGCTTTCTATGCGAAAATTTAAATTAAAGAAATATGAAATTTTGATGTGATGTCAATAATATGTCACCGAAAGATAATTTATCTTGATTGACGATATACTCGGTGGCTGTTTGAAAACTGAAGACGTCGAAGTCATCAAAATTAGGCCAATCGGATGGTATTTGGATAATGAAAAAATTGAATAGTCGGTTTCTCTATTTAGAATAGAATAGAAAATAAACTTTATTCTGGGACGATGTCCCCTTAGAATAACAATAATGAACAGTTACAAAAGAAAAAATACATATCTGGCAAAAAACTAACCTAAGAAAGATTCAAACAATATATACAACAACTTAAATAATAGTATGTAAATTACTAAAAAATAAAATAAAATCTTCTCAACTATACTGGATGTAGTGGAAAAAATAACAAAAAGAAAAGGAAAAAAATAGCACTACATGTACAGAAAGAAAAAGTATATATTCGGTCTTTCGAGCTATTATATGCTTTTCGGGATGCTTAATCTGAAATTAATGTTACCGAACGAAAGTTTCTATTGCGTTCCGAGATATATGCAAAATAAAACAGCGAAATTTCCGATCTTTTTTGGAAATATCTCTGAAGTTAAGCATTTTAACGAAATTTTTATCAAATACAAAATTAAAGAAGATACAATTTACTATCAATTTTATCCGTAGCCTTTTAATATAGGTCCAACGGTTGATGAGTTAGAGAATGCTGGCTTTTATTTTTATTTTTTTATTTATTTTTTTTTTTACAGAAATATTTCATTTCGTCGGTTTTCTCTAAAAATTCATAATCCATGCTTGAAGGAATTCAATCTAATTAAATTTCCTGTGTACTTCATGTAGACACGTCAATATGTGAAAGGTTTAAGCGGCTGTTAAATCGCATGGATTTGAAAGCGTATTTCATTCGTAGTACCTGGCGCTCTCAACTTAAGTTTTTTATTTTTATCTTTTCAATGCTTTTAATTCAGCTAATTTAACTATATTTTATACAAGGAATAGAATGTATAAACAAATCACATGGCTTTTATAAATTATCATAGCAACCGACTGACCGAAATTGTGTGTTCAGGTGTGGTTTACCTGGAACTTAAAATTGTCAATAGCTATAAGTCCTTCCGATAAATGAAATGTTCGGTAGTCCCTAGGCTAATAGATAATAGCTTTACATACCAAAGAAGGCGTCGGTACTGGGTCTGGACGGGATGGAGCCTGTGTGTGTCATCTGCCAAAGGTGGAAGGCGGTGTTGAAAGTTTGGGCTACTGTTATTGAAATCAGCTGGGCCTGGAACAAGAATAAATTAAAATTTCAAAAATGTGTTAATTATTTATAACATTTTATAATTACATGTTAATAGTATAAACTTGTATAACTCACACATCTTCTCTTTAATGCAGTCGACGTATAAGCGATATTATTAAAAAATATATATATATTCTTAGAGACAATATTTTATTGTCAGGAAAATCTATTCAACGAACTCCATACGTTTGAAATATGTTGAAGTTATGGCTTATTACACTGGGACATAGATTTCAAGTTAAGCATAGTAGACTCAATTAATGATAAATTTCATTCTATATTACCGAAGTGCCCAAGGGATCATAAAGATATTTTGCTTCGTTTACTTTTTCAATACATTTTAATTTCTTAAATAAAAACCCATACCAATGAAAATAACATTAGGAAGTATTGAAAGATATGAAGGAAAATCCACCATAACTGGAACGACCACGAACACGATAACGGTTCTAAAACACGAAGGACAAGAACCAATAAATAACTGCTTAGAAAATCTGATCAATCTAAATCTCATGATATAAAGTCAAGGAAGTCAAGACACGAGACGTGAACTGGAGCAATCTTTACACAATGAATGCGTCAATATTAGGCTAGAGACCACGCGGAAGGACAAAAACTAGACAGATAGAAAGATCTTAAATGTAATATAGCTGGGGGACGGGGTGGCCGAGCGGACTGACGCTTATGCACATCACCGCACTACTCGGCAATCTGGGTTAAAATAAGTTGATTACGTTCACGTGCCGGTGCCTATGTAGTGCTTTAACTCTATTATTAATCTCCCGCACTCAAATTCTGGCCCGGGAAAATCCCGTACAGCCTAAAATTCGAGAAAGGGGAGGACAAAGAAAGAAAGAAAAAAGATGCTATTGGGGTGTATGCAGGTAACTGAAAATTAATAGTCTAAGAAATACAGAAGTGAATAAGTACGTTAAAGTTCTTTGGTCGGAATCAGGAAGGTTTTTTGTGGGTGGGGTGGGCTAACGTGTGTGCACAGCATCGCTGTTGCCCGGCAACCTGATCTATGAGACATTGGATTTAAAATAGTCATGAGCTCGCGTTCCGGTCGGTGTCGGGGAGTCTTTTAAATCTCAGCCCGAACCTCCTTGCACGGGAAAACCTCGTGCCTTTTTTTAGACTCCAAAAAAAAGTACGTTAAAGCAGCAAAAGATCTATGAGGTTACATAAATAATACTACCGTATTTATATACTGTACTTATTTTTATAGATTTTTATTTGTTACAACCTCAACTGATGTTGTTTCCTTTTAAAACATATCTTATGTTTTCTTTTATAGGTTTTTCTTTTTAATGTATGTATTTTCTCATTTATGGAAATCCATCTTATTATTAGTTTTCATTATTTTTAAAAACAGTTACGAATTAAATAATGATAAATATGTCCGGAATCCTACAGAAGAGGAGCCAGAGATAGGCCTTGAATGGATAGTAGATCCGATAATTGTAGGAAGACGCAGAGAGCCATCAGATATACAGCTACAGCCGGGGGTCCAGGGAGCCCGCGATAAGGACAGCCCTTTAGTTAATAGCCTGCAATTAGGATCTGGTCAGTAGCAGAGGCCCCTCGTTAACACGGCTCCCCAGCCTCACCTCTGGCTCTTAACCCCGTAATTATGGCTCTATTAATCGTTTTTATTTCAAATATTTTATTATAGCTGACGTAAAACAATGCATTATGTCCAGGTATTTGAAAAATTAAGGACCCGAGTAATCAAACAAAGCTTTACATTTTTCAAATGATTACTTCATGATCATAAATGATTTTTTTTAAAGAACATCTGCTATTTCAAGATTAACAAATTTTTGTTAACGATTTGGAGTAAACTTTACGCCTTCGTCAGAAATGTTGCCCAAATGCGAGAACGAGAGGAGTCTTGTTCTTGCAAGCTCAGTCTTGGTAATGGTCTTGATCCTGCGCAAGACTCTCGCAACAGTCTTGCAATTACTTATTAGCTTATTACTAGAGAGATATTACCGTAATTTTTTAGATAGGAGAAGCCTAACTAAATGAATGAAAAATTATAGGAGTTAAATACTAAAGTATATTGGCTACACCAATTATTAATATACAGTAACTAAGAATTTCAAGTATTAGTAACTATTTTGCCTTAATTTTTATTTTTAAAAAATCGATTTTTGTACCAGTCCTGGTCTTGGTCTTGCAACAGTTAGGCAGCATTAGTCTTTTGCAAGACCAAGACCGATTTTGGGCAACACTATTCATCAGAATTGGTAGCTAAAAGATTTTGGACTAATAACAAATATTTGTTTTAAATATTTTTTAAACGAAATGTTCTGATGAAGGCCTTAAACTTATAATTAGCGGAAACAACTTGAACAAAGATAATAACCGTTGATAATATTTAGGTATATTATATTTAAATTATAAAAATTAAATATATTTTAATCTTTTTAGTAAAGGAACAGTTAAAAATAAAAAATATAATTAAGCTTTGTAAGATAAATGGGAATGAAAATACACAGATTAATATAAATTATTTTATATATCCTTTTCCCCCATAGCACAAGACAATAAAATAAATGGTGTATAATGTAAAACGGATGATATTTTTTTTTTTTAATATCAGATAAACAGATGAATAATGTGAAAATAAGGTAAACTTTTTTTTAAAATACATAATTATAATCCAAAACATCCTTAATAAAGAATTTTAAAAGTAAAGTTAGCCATTTGAAAATTCGTAATCATCATAGGAATAAAGCTGATAGTAACCTTCTGAATTAAAATTACATAATTATAGCCTCCAGTGTTTCATTCCCAAGAAAAGAAAAATTCAAATACCTTGCCTCTACAATAACCTCTGTGATATCAGAAAATCACCCCTGGAAACAACTAAGGCTGTATTAAAAACTTTATATCACAATACTAAAAAACACTTATATTGCTCTACATTTACATCACTTTATCAGGGATAAAGAACTACTGCTCTCTGGATAACCTCACCCAAGCCAATCTCCATTGTTTACAACAGCTACAGTGCTGCCTGATAACATGCATTAACTCTACAACCTCAATTAATGACCACCGGGTAGAAATAGACGAAGGTATAACTAGCACAAACAGAATCTTCTCCCTCTCAAAGATGTTGAAAAACGTGTTGAAAGATTTGAGAGAAAAATCCGCGGCACGATAACCAGAGCAATCTGGGTTCAAAGTAATAACACATGGAGAAGAAAGACAAATAAAGAACTGTCTACTGGAACTGGTAAATTAATATTCCACGTTATGAAGGCAGGGAGGTTAAGATGGGCTGGGCATGTAGCTCGTAGCAACCTATTTGGAAGCCTCTACCCAATGAATGCCTCAACAGAAGGCAAAAGAACATTTGGAAGGGCAAAAAGCAGATGGATAGATAGAATCAACAAAAATGAAATAGAGCTGCGTGCAGATAAATGGAAATAGCCTAAGACAGGCAGGGATGAAGCAGGCTTATTAAGGCGGCAAAAGATCTGCATGGTGTGTAACGTCAAAAAAAAAAATCGAGTGTTTTAGCATTCATCAATTAATTAATTCAATCTACAACTTATAATTATTATAAGTATTTTTTTATTTATATTTGATACTTTTTTAAAAGAAGAAAATGACTAAAATAAATCGCTCATATAGATTTGTTTTTTCTGTATAGGTAATGCACTTACTTTCATCATTATTCTTAAAAATTATAGGATCAAGATTAGGTTCCATAGTTTGTTGGTAAAAGATTACAGAGGAGCAAATAGATTATCTCGTCAATAGTCTCCTTGTTTTCTCGGCACTTTAATCCTCTCTTAAAAGTTTAAAATTCTTTTTAGGGTAGGGGAAGTTTCCTAGTTTAGAACAGTACTCGGCTATGATTAAAGCACTTTTCCTTGACAAGAGGAAATTATTTTCTTTCACGAGTGAGAACAAAAGGCGGCTATCTCATTTTTTATCTTAATACTTCCTACTCTGCCGTCGACAGATTTTGTTCCTGCCCTCGCCTACTTCTTTAGTTTCTTTCTTGCCCCCTGACGGAAAGCCTTTTATGTCCTTCCGATTAATTCTTCTATGAAAAAAAAATCTTGTGTAAAAAGTTGTCGAAAATGGCCTCTAAAACTTTTTCCCATCCTGAAACGAAGGCATGAATTTTTTAGGGACGTGATACGGGTGACCTGCCGGTTTCATATTCCTTTTAAAAATAATGAACTTTTGGTTCTGGATGTGGTTTTAGAACATTTCATCTAGATATTCGATATCCACAAATCGATTATATTACTTCCATGTATGATGAGACGAAAAATTCATAATATTTATTTATTTCCACTTTTTTATTTTGTTATTTTATAAATAATGGCAGATCCAAATATGATATATTTTGTACAGGAATGGCCATCGATATGCTCAAAAAGTATAAATTCGATATGTTTTAACAGAAAATAAAATTATAAAATATCACTTATAGAATATTATTTAAAATAATTATTTTAAACATTGATCAATGTTAAAATATCAAAAACAAAATCCGGTACCATTCATTGCATTCAGAAGCAATAAAAGATACCCTAACATTCGACGATTTTTTTTTCTTTTTCTATTCATAAAAAAATGAAGTTACACTATTGAATTATTCTTCCTACTACATAAAAAACTTTTTAGTTATTTTCACATTTTATTTTATTGTAGTATAAGGAGTGTAAGAGATTACTGGAGCTCCCTTATCAGATCTATAATTAGCGCTAATTATACAGCTGTTTATTTAATTACATCGTGATAGACTCAAAAGACTTATGAATTGCTTCGTAAGATTTGTAATTGGAACCCCGAGACGCTCCCGTGTCTCCCACCACTACACTGAGTTAGGGTGGCTCTTCCCCTACTTAAGAAGACAATATTTCCTTGGCACTTTCCTTTATCAAATCATTACCGATCATCGTCCTTCTTATGCCTACAACCTTCTCCAATTTAAGTCCTCAATCCATTCA